TATTCCCCTCACAGAGCTGAGATTCTGTATTAGCTGCCCCAATAACAATCCAGAGAAGGATTTGGGCATAAACAGGATGCTGGCTATAGCTATAACATATGTGTATACACCAGGTAGTTCCAAAATATGATTTCAGTCTGTCTTCAAAGTCCTACTGACGTGAATACCACCATGAAGTAACATTCAGCATTTCTTCCCTGCCATTTAAACATGTGCTGTATGTCCACTAAGATATAGATTCATAACTATGTGCATGAGAACAGGTACATATATACCTAATTCATATCTGCATGAATGTACCATATATGCATGCTCTCATGCCTTCCTGAACATTAGCTTTCCGAAGTTGATTACGGTCAACTTTTTCTCTATACTTTTACCTACATGGGGTGGTATTTCTGAAACAGATGATGAGAAAAGGGCATTTTAGAAATGACAACTCTGCAGCAAATCATGTTCTTGTTCAGTATTAGAATGTTAAACTATACCCCTGAGAGCTGCTTTGGAAAGGAAAGCTTAAATATTGCCCTCCACAAAGAGCATGCCGGAACAATAATGTTTCATAAAACATTAACACTAAAATATTCAAAACATCATTGGATTTGCTCCATCAAAATCATGCCCTCTTTTTTTTAATACTAGCACCAGTGGCAGTATCAATTTCTAAATATTCCCTTTCTTGAACACTGTTACTGCTAGCAAAACAGGGACAGAGTTGAAGACAAGCAGGCTTATTTTACTAAATAATGGAACTAGTTATTTTTGATGTATTAGTCTGATTTACTGTTTCCAAACAAATTTTTCATTTTAAGTGCAAAAAGTTGATTTCTACGGTCTGGTTGATGTTTTTTCATGCATGCAAATTTTTTAGAGAACATTTTGTCTTTAGCTTCCTGTTATGCACATTTTTAAGAGCTTAATGTTTCCTGCCTCCACTTAATACGAAAGAACATGGCACATTTTTGCTGAATGTCAATGAGATAGTTACATTACAGAAATCGTGCCTAAACAACTCTGATACTGTGACTAGGCATCAGCAGAATTCCAGCCCATACTGGAAAAGAATTTAATTAATATAATGCAACCAATATAAAATGGAACCTCCCCAAAATGCAATGCAAAGGGTAGGAAACTCAACCACCAGTAAATATTGAATTAAGCACGGCTCTCTTATTAAAAAGATAAATAAAACAAAACAAAGTAAAATAGAAAAGTCTTGCAGAGGCTTCATAAATATATGTACAATTTATTTACGTCAGTTAATAAGGGTTTTGTCTCATCAGGCAGGAGATGAAGCAGTATCGGCCTCTCCCCAAGCACCTTCAGTATTTTACTAACAAAGTTACAGTACATCGGAATATTTTAATCTGACACAAAGAACAACAATAGATCTGACTGCTGGGCTGATAATCTTCTTATCACACCCTGTGAAACCTAGCTCTAATATTTGACTGAGCCTCCATTACTCGGCAACACATTCTAAAAAGGCCAACAATGGAGAGAGAATGAAGTGGAGTGTGGAAGTACCTCCATATCTACATAAAAGAGATTAGAGGCGACAGCGTTCCATTTTACAGCTCAATCATATTGTGTTAGCATGCGCTTATCCGAGCGCGGATGAAATTGAAAGAGAAATAAAAAAGAGTCAGGCAGATAGGAACCAGAAAAGCGAGGCATGAGCAATTTCCAAGGATATAAAAGGATGCTAATGGCGGGGCCCTGTCATTCTTAAAAAGGGCTATTAGGGCACCATCATCTGTTCTTGTGCCCTTACGCTCCTCTAACTAAAGTCAAGCATTTCCTAATGCCATTGTGATCTTTCTCTTCTTCAGATAAGACATGGTCATGTTTCATAACAACACACTTTCCATTTATTTGATTTATAAATGCAAGGAGACTAATTCTATTTACTGATAAAGGCTTTCCATATATATTTTTCTTTCAATATTTCCTTTTGTAGATGGCACAGACTTTTTGTTCAATAAAAGCAACTATTGAAATGTTTCCAATAGCACAAAAATACTAATGATTTTATGAAAGCATTTGAATTTTGTGTATTTTTAAAACATTTTTAAGTCCATGACTGCAATGGGAAACAGTTGGCCAGGGCAGAATGCATATTGCATTGTTACCTTTTTATAGGTAATCTCATTAAAAGACTTTCTGTTAGAATAGCAAAAACATTCTTTTGGTTTCTTCCACAAAGACAAATTTTACTTTGAATTACAATGCTTTACAGCCAAGATCTTTATTAGTTATTAAGCACCTGATATATAAGGGCCTTTAATTATACTGAACCTTAAGAAATCACTATAGTAAAGTAAGATTTGCCGATTGCTGCTTTGCTGTGCTAGGCACAAATTCACTACTGGTATAATTAATCGATTCCAACAGATTTACACCAAGGATTTACTTAGTCCGTTAAGCTACAGCGAACTTTTGCGCAATTTGCACTCTTTTTCTAACTCATCCTTTTTCCAAACTCATCCTTTTTCCAATTCTGTTATGTTTCTGCCTACAGTAACATTTGTTAGCTTAGAAAACAGCCAGCTAGCACCAATCCAGGCTCTTCTACAAGTTGTTTGGTGCCAGACATTAGCTGAGCATAGGCAGTCCCAAGTTCAGCAGTACTCTATCATTTAAAACTAAGCTGCAAAAGCTCATCACATTTGCCCTTTAGTATGTCAAGCCCTTCTCCATTTTGATTTTTGTGATCAAATGCCAAACAACAAGCACAGATTTTATCACTGCCCTCTATTACTAGAAGGCTTATAAAAAGATTGTCTTTTTTTCCTTTTCTTTCTCTTCTCACTCCTAAACAGAGTCAGGTGAGTAAACTTAGCTAGCGTGGCTTTACCACGGCAGGTGTGTTTTTCAGTTTACCTTGTAATAAAAGGCTGCCTCATGGCAGAAACGTTCCTCAACTGGTTCAGATCGCAGACTTCACATTTTCAAGGCCGGTTTACAGCATCCAATACCTTTCCCACGCTAACCAAAGCCATCATTTTAAAGACAGCTCAGTCTCATCCCTCTGCTCTTCCTACCCCTCCAGCCACATCAAAACTACACAACACATTCACAGATCAAACTGACGAAAGTTCCCCTGCAACTACTATGGAGCATGGCTGACTTCCTTGAGAGCTACTCTATTTTGGTTCAGGGTATCTAGGTATCTTTCAAAGATGAAACTCAAACTCACTTATTTAACTCATTTTGACTTAATTTGGGGTGCTTTATTAGCAACCAGTGTAAGACAAAGTGGGTAGTATAATATAGAGTGATGTTTAAATTAGTTTACAATTTGCTTGGGCTCATCTAGAACTGCTCTGAACAAAGCCATTCAGAAATGTCAGCTGTGTTCCTAACCACTGTAACAAATTGTTGCCTGAACGCTGCACACCTAATGACTTCAAATTAGCTTCACTGCGATATTGCCTGACAGTTCGTTACGACTGTTAGCAACATAGCTGGCGTATCATGACCAATAAATTGGTTTCAGTGTGGGCTGGGAAAGGGACTTCCATCAATTTGATTAAAGAAATTACTGTAGCATTCAAAGCATAAAGACAAACTAGTTTAAGGAGACAGAAATAAGTTAACTGTACCAGAAAAACATTGCTTGTGATACAAAAGCTTGTTTATACACCATTTGTGGCACAGAGAATGACTAAATTTCAACTGTGTCGCATACTGACTATTTCAGAGTCTGTATGTTGTTGTTGCTCATCTAAAGTAAAATAATGTTCCATAAATGTACGAAGTATTTTATTATTATTCTTTGTTAGTGTTTTTATTTATCAAGGATGACCCAGAAGCACCTACCAGAAGAACGGAGAGGACTTGTGCTGGTTAGCACAAGGGAAAAAAACCCAGAAAGACTATTTCTTTCTATTTCTTTGTGATTTCTTTTGATACTAGAAATAAAATATATTTAACTTTGATAAACAACTGACTGGATTATTTATTCTATTATTAAGGCATCCCAAAATCACATCCAAAATCAGGATGTTATATGGCTCAGAGGAATTAAAGGTTATCCATTCTTATGTTCAATAAGGCTCCACTATCAAAATTAGAAAACTAATGAGCTGATGAAAACACACCAACACGCTCACTCATCTGCTGGACTAGAAAAATACCTGAAGAAACAAGAAAAAAAGCCAATCTTTTTTGTGTGACTTTACCATTTCTGAAAGGTGACAGACTGAAAACCCTGGAGACTCTCTATAAGCTTGTCTGCTAGCCCACAGAGCAAGCACAAATACCTCAGCAATGGGGGGAAATAAAATATACCTGAAATGTTACCTGAAGAAATTGCTCACCTTCTGAGAAACTGCTTTTGATGACCCTCACTTTTCTTGCTAACAAGAGCGTCAGTCAGCTTTTATAATATCAACACATTTACCTGATGTAGACCACAGTCCACTTCATGCAGACCAAGAAACGACTAAGCTATAAGAAAAGACCTTTCGGTACAATTCAGTTCTTTCTACTGAACTGCTGGTACAATTCAGCTCTCACACTAGTTCATTCAATGAAGAGAACAATTCCTCTGTGCCATGCCAAAATATAACTGAATTTTTGCACCTCCTGTGGTCAGTATAAGATAGTGCTGCCTTTATGGAATAGAGGAATTAGACTTACATTCAACTACTGCTGAATCAGACGAGTACAGAGGAGAGCACTTACACTACCCTTCATACCAGGCTAATGCTCTGGATAGCAAGGCAAGTTTATCTTAATAAAGGTAATACATGAAAAAAATTGATTCACTGAGTAGCACGTAAAACTTATTAACATAGTAGCACTCATAGTAACAATAATACTATTTCCAAGGTAAGATATATTATCATCTAACCTATGTCCCGTGTGAATAATCTGGAGTCTTAAGAAAACTTTATGCGTTGTAGTGAGAGAACAAATCATATTTTTTACCAGAACAGAATAACGCATGCGATGATTTCTCTATGTCATCTACTTGCAATAAATACTGTATGTACCTGGAATATGCTTAGCCCATCCAATGATCACCACCAGTTCTCTGTCTGCCAGGTCACAAAGAGTGGTAAGCGCTTTGATGTCACTGTCTGGAACAGTGGGGTCAGGCATAGCGTAGATCTTCTCTGGTTCAGCCACCAGCAAATGGGAGACAATCTTGTTATCTGTAAAAATGGTCCAGAACAGCACAAGATCACCAGTAGCATCATTCTACTTTTCAAACAGATGGCTCATATTTCAAAGTGCACAGGAATTTGTCTTAAGATACTGGACCTAATTAGACCTTATTGTAACTTCACTGGCTTCTACAAGCGGTTACAGCACAAACAAATCTGATCCATTAACAACATTTATCAAGGTAGACATGCATGTTCTTAAGAAAGTAAATTTCATGAAATGTAGAAATACCTGATCACCTCCTAATATCGGAATACAAACTTTGTAGAAAAATATTCATCCATTATAATGTATTCTGGACTGTGCAAATAGAAAAGTTTTGCCTTCCTCCAATTACCTGCAAGTCAGGTGTAGTTTTTGAGGGAGTAAATACCACAAGCAATTAGTCAGTCATTGAAATCTGTAACTTCGGTCAGCAATTACAACTACCATCCTTTGTTTTAGATGTCACTGTGAAACTGTTGCAACAGAAATGGTCTCAGGACTTTCTGAGTGCTCATTAACCCATATATCTTATATCACAGGTATCCTGCCTGTTAAAATGTTAAGAATGAATCTGTACTCCTTGGGGCCTATACTGTGAGAAAAGTGGGGTGTTGTCATATATTTGCTTTTCAGTGAAACACACAAATATAGAATCATGTATAAAATTAGCTTCCTTAAGTTCAAAAGAGACAGTCAGGAATAACTATTAAAATCAATGAGAATAAAGAGTGTAAAACTAAGGAAAGTTTCAATAGATGCAGACCCTACCCTCAGAAAACTGGTTTTGTGCAAAGAATGATACTTTATCATATTCATACACTGGTTATTTTTATCTAGATAGCATCTTCACTCGTGTTTAATATTTATTTTTTCATCCAGGTGAATTGTGAAATCTATTTGTAATAATAATTTAAGTTATAAGAAAAAGGTGGGGGGGAAGAGTAGAAAAGCTTGGAAGATTTACAATACAGTGTTGCTACTCTATATTCTATAAGTAGGATAAACATAAAACGACCGTTATGTCCACGTGGAGGCACAATGCAAATATCTTATCTCTGTTCAGGAGCCTGATCTGTTACTCTGAGAAGGCAGAACTGAAAAATGGGAAAAGGACTAATTCATTAAGTCTCCTAATACAGGATACATTACTACACTTCCCAATATATTTACGTTTTACCTTTCATGGTAGGTACATCTTGTGACCTCAAATGCACCACCAGAATTTAAAGCCCAAATATCACCCTTCAGTGAATTTACACTAATCCGTTCCCTTCTTTCAGATACAGTCATGGGGCTTGATATAAATGGGATTCCACTGCAAGAAGGTGCAAAGTATTTTCTGACTGCAGAGAAAGTTGACAGAATTAGTATCATTTTCCCCTTCCCCATGTAAGTCACAGGATGAACCACAAAGTCCTCCTGTGGGGGAGCTGCAATGGGAGCTGATGGGGATGTGTCAGGAGCGTCAGAGCGGCTCCCTACCAGTCCATGACAGATTTCCATAAAATACTCACTTGATTCAGATTTCTGATACTTTACTGCTCTTTTGTGACATAAACTCCTTGATTCTGATCTACTGTCTCTACAATTTTTGCCTTATTCCAAATTTGTGTGTCATAAGTTGTGATATATGTTAGCCCTTCATAAAATAAGTGCAAGAGCCAACTGGAAACCATCACATCAAGCATGTTTTATTACAAGGGGATATATTCATGCTTTATATGAACTATAGGAACCATGCCAACTGAGCAATTCTTGATCTCAATATTCTACTGATTATCAAACTGATTAATGAGGAATTCTATTCTTATTTAAAGATGACAGATGGTAGTTTTAACTTATATTGGCAAACAGCCTTTGCACTTTTTTTTTTATTTTTTTTAAACAGTATTTTCATATCCTGTTTAGTTTCACACAGAAAACATAATCTTTTTAAATGAGAAAATAACAGTGGTTCTTCCCAAATTCCAATATTTGTACATGTTTTGAAAAGTAGCATAAATGAATTAGAGTTTCTTAACATCAAAACACATGTAGCTGAGGACTTCAACTTTGTAGATTTTAACCAGTGATAAATGAATGAAGAAGCACTCACATCCCCAAGTTCTGGGTTTGTTTCCTCGCAAACAGAAGAAATGGCCAAAGAACCTCTTTCATTTTTTTATTAGGTTCCTCACTAATGGCTTTTTGTATGTGATTGAGGAATATTGTATATTTTGACCCAGGATTTGCAAAAATCTCAAATTCTTTTTATTTTTGCAACCAACAATATCTACAGGCAGGCCATTAGATTCCATTGGTGATGCTGGAAAATAGAATAAAGACCAGAAGTAGGTATAGGAAAGATCCTCCAAACACCTGTTCTTTCCCTAAAACCCTATAGGCAGGGGAAAAGCTACCTGTATTGGAGCGTGCATTAGTATAGACCATAAGAAAATTTTGAATCTACTCAGAAAGCTCCATCACTCAGGAAATTGAATAGCCATGAGCACTGTTTCTAGGTAAATCTTATTTAATGTTTCCCTAATTAGAATCAATAGAACCCAATTTTCATTCCTGTGCCTTTGTTATGCACAAACTATCAGTCAGGGTCCAGAAAATCTCCCAGGCTACTTCCACACAAAACTGATTCAACTGTTTCAAGTCTTGACACTTATCTGACAGGATTTGAAAATTAAGTTTTATAAATGTTTGCTACAAAAATGTTTGCAATTGGACAAGCTAAGGAAAATGAAGGGAGGCACTTAGATAATCGGTAATGATTTATAACGAGGTTAGTTTATCTCAGACAAATGGAGCTTACAGGAATTGGTGTAGTTATCGTCTTAAAGGTAATGTAATGCACTACTTTGCAGTAATCTTGGGTTTACACAGAGGTGCTTGTGTTTCAGTACAATAGCGTTAACCTCTGTTCATATTAAAGGGCTTGGGGTTTTGGGGTTGGATTTTTTTTTTTTTTTATTGGCTGTTTGGTCTTGGCTTTTTTGGTATGCTAGGCTATCAACACTTCTACTCAATGACAATATCAAGTAAATGAAAAACTGACAATCTGTGCACCCAGGAAAACTAAACCTCTAATGAAATTAAGCATTAGAGTTTATTAAATTTTATTGTATTATCAGAAAGTTTTTATTATAATGTGCAAAATCTGCTTAGTGCAGCCCTAGATTGTATTTACAGAACAGTGGGACAGCTTATGGAGGCTGAGTGGAAGATGCCAGATTGGACAATTGAAGGAATATAATCAGCATAATGTTTTTTGGAAAGGCAAAAGGAAACTATGCCATATGTTCACTTAAGCCTTAATTTTATGTAAAACTGGCTGTTTTTTCTTTGACACAGCTAAAATGCCCTTTCACTTAGAGTTCAAAGACTGTTTATTTGCTCTCCAGATCCCCATATGCTCAAACGTATTGTACACAGCACCGTCCCCTACTGGGGAACACGAATGGAAACAAATTCCATTTTCCATACAGCCAGGTATTTTCAAGAGCCTAAAACTGACATGTGTGCTGTCAGAGGCATAGGGGTAGAGGCAAATGGGAGACAAGGAGGAGTTTGCCCTCCTTATTTCTCTGCCTTTTTTCTCTATTTTAGGAGCAAATTAACCTTCTCGGCAGGAGCAACTGGACATGTGCACTCTCATTTGAATTCGGAAGAGTTTACAACATGTGATACAGCGTGTGTGCCTTTGCAGGGTAATACACTAGCCTCTTGCACTACAGCTATAATGCTATTAAATTTACTTCATGGAATTAGTACAGTCACTGCTTGAGTTTATATAAGCTGCAAAGCAAAACCCCTAACTATTTTTAGTTAATCGCAAAGAGGATGGAACTTGTATTTTAGCAATGAGATGATCAGCTCTCTCTCTCTCTCTTAATTTCAGCCTGGCGAGATACAATCAAGGACGTTATTAAAACATAACAAAACAAAGCAAAAAAATCCATAAGGGTACTAGAGCCCAAACTACCAATCTATGCTTGTTATTAGTGTGGCATATTGCTGTTTTAATCTAATGCTAGGTAGTGTATTAATCTATACGTATAAATTAATGAGGCTCTTAATGTATTTTCATTGGGAGGTTGAGCAGTCAAACTCATTTAGTTAGTGAAAACTACAAAAATCACTTTCTTGTGGAATCTGAAACTAGCAGCTTCAATGAACTAATGATCACAGTATGAACCATTTTATGTACCACTGAAAATAAAGATAACCTGTAAATGTAAAATTTGCACTGCATAAACCATGCTTTTATACACTTCCACCTGTAAAATATTTTTTGTTCAACTCGACTTGAGAAAGATGAGTATATTTAAAACAAAATGTTTTAACAGCTAAATGGATATAGTGTTCATGGTAACATCTCCTGGCCAAACCCTTGTCCCAGTCAGAACAAGCTTAGCAAACAGGGCTAGGAGTCAATACCTTGTATTCAAAGAGAAATTTTGTATATCTGGTGTACTCACATGGCTTTTTTGCTGGCTGAACTAGCTGAGGGTTCAGGTATGGGCTATTCTCTGCATCTATTCTGCGCTTGTACTTCTGGCGACCTCCACGTACTCTGTCTAGGCGGACACCTACATTGGGAAAAATAAGCAAACATGTAATTAAATACATTATGAGGACGCTGCCCAGGTAACAATCTTCTATCTCCGGCCTTCCAGTATGTATTTAAAATGCATGTTTATTTCAAAAGATTAATTTTAGAAAGCAAGGGAAAGCAGCACTACAAGTATTTGCAAGCTGTTTACATTTTCACACATGCAAGACTAAATATACAACATAATTTCCTGTTCGTTTAAAACCATTTGTTCATTTTTACATATTATTAAAAAACAGCTAACAAGTTTAGTTTCCATTTGAAACAGCCTGATCTTAAGTCATCTTTGCCAGAAGCAGAAATTCAAAGCTGTAATAAACACCATGGATATACAAGGCTAACATTATGAGTAGAGAAGTAGAGAGAATTAGAACTTTAGAAACAACGGGTGCTGTATACAGTTTAGATACTAAAAACCAGTGCTCTTCATTAACATGAATTAACATGGCCAGAGGATACAAAGTTAAGTATCCTTAGTAAAATAAGAACATATATGTGGCTTAAAGACCTGAAATGGTTCATGAGGGTTTGAAAGAAATTGTATGGGTGTTCATTTAGATGTCATCAATGACGAATTAACATTTGTGTTCTACCTCCAAATTGTTCATTGATTCAATAAAATATTCTGCTATCCGTTTTATACGGATGTATAGAAGTTTACTTCCCTGAAACAAGCTACAGCTGCTCTCATAGAAAAAAAGAAAAAAGGAGGGGGGGGAAAAAAGATGGTAGGTCCTATAAAACAATGAACTGTTTTTATTTCCTTCTGAGTCACCCAGGCAGATTTCCAGACAACCAGGACAAATGTCAGTATAACCAAGTAGTAACATAACACTGAAGTTGAAAAACTCGGCATATATGCAGGGCAACAGGACAGGTAATACCAAGCTCAAAATTTGTCCCTGATGACATGGATTTAACTAGACAAGAATGCAAGGACACATCACGTATCAATGATCCCTGTGCGCAATGTAATAAAGTGGAGCTCACTTTCTCCCTTTTTGTTGTCTATTTCGGCTCTCCTCCCTCTATCTTTTCTACTGCCATTATTGTGCCCTGCTCTACTACTTCCCACCTCCCTGTTGTCTCCCTCGCAGGAAATACCTCCAGAACTGGCTTCTGGACTGCAGAGAAGCCACCACCGAAGACATTACAGTTTATGTGCACAGCAAGAAGAATACAGCACAGAGTTTACGTGCTGCCTATGAGCCTGCACTGGTAGCAGTCTCATTACCAGGAAACATCTGTCAGTCCTCTTTCGTCCAAAGAGGATTGACTGGGTTTTGGTGAAGAAAACCCATTTTGCCAAATAGCCAGAAATCCAAGGCCAACTCTTGTTGTTTTGTTTTTGTTTCTTCTTCTTTCATATTTCTTGCTTTTTTTCTTTTCCTGTTCTACTCTCCAAGCTGGCATGAAACACCAGAACACTTTCTAGCTGAACCACAGAAGACTGCAGTTTACAGATCCAAGTCTGTATTCTTCTACTGGCAGGGAAGCTTTGCATGCATGAGGTTCTCCTTCACTCAGATGGACTGTTGATACCCATAAAGGTTAGTAACACAGGAGATACTTGGCTTAAGGTCACAACCAATGTCTGTAACTATAATGCAGTGAACTGTATGCAACAGTGCTCAATACTTTTTGCTCACCAGAAAAGTGGGTAATGATCGCCTGTATTTAATAGTGAAATTCCATTTGGTTTACTGAAGAAGACTGTGTATTTCACTCCCCCAAACTCAAGAAGTACATTTCTTATTGTATCAAGTATATTTTTGAGAATCACATTCTATAAATAATAAAACTAATCAACCACATACCCAAACAGGTCAGTGTATAATTACGAATGAAATCTTATTTATGGTATTCATGTATATCACTACCAAACTTGTGAGTGATTTGTGGTCTAAGCTATTTGATAAAATTCATGGTGATTCAATCAACACAGCTTGGTTATTTTTTGTCTGTTTTTAAAGATATCCATAGAAATGCATGAATTACAAGACCACTTTAAAAACTGACAGTCAAAAACTTTTCAGAGCTAATCATAACTCAGTGTTCTCCACCCTTGAATTGGGCGTTTGAGCTGCACCTGAAGCAAATGACATCCAGGACAATACACTGCCAAAGACCAAGGTTTGACAGCTGAATATTCAGAAATAGGCAGAGGATTAGAGCAAGCCACATGCGATATTGGTGGGATTATGAAAAAGACTGCCCAGCATTTGAAGAAAAATAGATAGAAAATGATTTCTGCATAATTCAGATGCCATCCTTCTTTCTGCTTGGGAGCAGATTTCATAGTGATAAAAGATGGATAGCATCAGACAGAAGTATGTTTAATCAAAAAGTAATGGAACTGAAGCTTAAATTAAAATAATATAAATCTAGCAAGATGAACAATTTTTTTACCTCCTTTGCATTTGCCAAGATACACATTCAAGCCATGCACACACTCAAGTGGAAGGAAATACAGACAAATGTCACAACAGCAAAATTATACGTAGATCCATGTACTCACCTATTATACATAACTATACCTATAAATATAGCAACTTTCTTTTTTTGAAAAGAAAAAATTATAATTCTAAATAACTAGGGAGTAATGGTATTGCACTTTTTAAAATTGCCTAAATCTATAGTATAACTAATACCAATTCTAATGTGGAAACATTTTTGATAACATAATACCAACAGAACATAGATTAGAAGTTTATAACCCTTTCATTAAAACTGATACAGAGTTTACCATCATTTCAGCTCCTAAGCTTTCCTCGCTCACAGTACCATTACAAAGTACCTATCTTTGAATCAATTTCTTATAATCTAACACACCCTAAGTGGTATTTTACTTCCCAAGAGTCTTTATAGAAGTAAACACAATGCAAGACACCACTTAAGAAAGTATACCCATCTGACATTCCATAAAAACTGTTGGAGTTTGGCAGGTAGCAAACTGAAATCCAGAGATTCCTTGTGTATATGCATTTATTTTCCCCTGTAACTCCTATGGTTTGTATGAGATCATTAATTACATAAAGATATATTTATCTGCTCTCAAGACAGCAACAGCTGGTATCCTCTTTGTTAGAAAAATAAACGAAAGAAAGAAAAACAATTTTGTCCACAAAGATCTTAATTTGGGGAGGGGTGCTTAACATCTTGATCACAGAGGTAATTGCTATAACTCAACATATACTCTGTACTCTGACTATTAAAGAGGGTATTGTGGCATCTAGGTAGTGTATAGGGAGAAGTTAAGTAGACCTCTGCTTTAGCTCTGCTGTGCATATGGCTTGCCAGAGTCTTCAGCAACTCCACTCACTCACCCTACCAGTCCTCAACCATAAAGTGAAAAGAAAGATATCCACCCCACCTGTATAAACTCACGGCACATCTCCAAATTAATTGCACTGTACATATTATTATCGTGTCCAGAGAAGGGCAACGAAGCTGGTGAAGGGTCTGGAGCACAGGCCTTATGAGGAGCGGCTGAGGGAACTGGGACTGTTTAGTCTGGAGAAGAGGAGGCTGAGGGGAGACCTTATCACTCTCTACAACTACCTGAAAGGAGGTTGTAGTGAGGTGGGTGTTGGTCTCTTCTCCCATGTAGTTAGCGATAGGACAAGAGGAAACAGCCTCAAGCTGCGCCAGGGGAGGTTTAGGTTGGAAATTAGGAAAAATTTCTTTACGGAAAGGGTGGTCAAGAATTGGAACAGGCTGCCCAGAGAGGTGGTGGAGTCCCCATCCCTGGAAGTGTTTAAAAAACGGGTAGATGTGGCACTTCGGGACATGGTTTAGTCTAGTCTATCCTTGATTGGCTTAGAGTAGACTTGGTAGTGTGGGTTAATGGTTGGACTGGATGATCTTAAAGGTCTTTTCCAACCTAAACGATTCTATGATTCTATGATTATCATTACAATTTTTTAGGGTCAAAACATCCATTAATGTCACTGAACAAAGCTCCACTGAAGATGAGCAAGTTGATTCTCTGCGTTCCCCCACACTGTTTCATTTTAAAATTCTTCAACAGAAAAACAAAAACAAAAGCCCAAATGAGAAAAACAGGTATGACCACAGGGTACAAATAGAAAGAACAGGCTTGCTACCAGTTACAATACCAGTTACTTTCAACAGTCAAATGCAATACATTCACTTTACATCTTAGGACAGGCACAACTCATGAACTCATCTGTTCAGGAGTGATGGGTAGTCACACATTTTGACATGATTTACGAAGCTCACAACATAACGATTAGACTAAAACTGTAATATATGGAGAGATGGAAACTATGTAAATCAATACAATTGCTACTTTTTTAAAAGAAGGCAATTACACTTACTAATACAACATAAAAGTTTCTCCAGCTGGCCTTAAGGAAAAAAAATGGTCTCATAGTTACTATAGAAGCTTCTACAAAAAAGGTTCACCTTCCAGTTCCCCGCACAATCTTTGCATGATTGCTATAAAATGCTTACCAACACACAACAAAATTATATTGGGCATTTACTCTAAAGTGAAAGTGTCCACAGTCTTGCACAGAAATAACTGAATACTAGAGCTGATGTACACAATGAGCTACCCACTTCAGTCTAAACAAACTTAACATAGGCAAACCTGAACTCTCCATTTTTTCTGTATTTCCTCATCTGTTCCTCCCTCACCAACAGTCGCAAATTATCATTCCTATTCTGTGGTCCTTTTCTCATACTGCCTTGAAGCCCTCATGTGGGACAGGTACCCACTATGACTGGTGCTATATAATATAAAAGAATGCCCTTACCCCTGTATATCATTCTTTCTGCAGTTCAGGTCCTCAGTATGATGATCATATTTAACAGTGTCATCTATTTTTCCATACAGATCCAAGATATATCCAAAGTGTACTATTTACTCCCTTGTAATCTACCTCTCTTCCTGTTTTCCATCCCCTCCTTCTTACCTCAGCTACAAGTCTCTAGTGTTCATTTGTCCACTTGTCCCACAAACATTCTTGTCCTTTCCATGAAGCTCTATACC